ATCTGCAAAGAGGGAAAAAGAATGATTAGTGACCTCTGAGATTGCGGGAATGATGGGCAGGAAGCCTGATGGGCACCCTTCATTTTCCCTATGATGCTCCTTTGAGCACCGAGAGATCCCACAATAAGAGTCCCCGGCCCCCAACAAATTATGGGCCCAGAGACCCAAATTAAACAGGTAAACCTTGGCCGGGAGTGGTAGCTCACACCTGTAATCCCAGCATTCTGGGAGGCCGAGGCAGGCAAATCAATCGAGGTCAGGAGTTTGAGACCAGCCTGGCCAACATGGTGAAACCCTGTCTCTACTAAAAATACAAAAATTAGCCAGGCATGGGGGTGCACGACTGTAATCCCAGCTACTCGGGAGGCTGAGGCAGGAGAATCACTCAAACCCAGCAGGTGGAGGTTGCAGTGAGCCAGGATCAAGCCACTGCATTCCAGCCCGGACAACAAAGTAAGACTGTGTCTCAAAAAACAAAAACAAACCCCTAAACCTCTAAACTCAAATCTGTGAATCCCAAATTGTAAATCTGGGCCTTAAATCATGATCCAGACTTAAAACTAAAACCAGCAAACCCCTAAGCTTGACTTCAGAACTTAGACATTAATAGTGAGATGCCAGACTCTGAAACAGAGACTACCAGGCCTTAAAAGTGTGGCTTGAGACCTACAGACTGTGATTTTAAGACACTAAAACTGGCCAGGGGTGGTGGCTCATGCCTGTGATGCCAGCACTTTGGGAGGCCAAGGCAGGTGGATCACCTGAGGTCAGGAGTTCGAGACCAGCCTGGTCAACATGGTGAAACTCATCTCTACTGAAAATACAAAAATTAGCTGTGTGTGGTGGCACACGCTTATAGTCTCAGCTACTCGGGAGGCTGAGACAGGAGAATTGCTTGAACCCGGGAGGCAGAGGCTGCAGTTAGCCAAGATCGCACCACTGCACTCCAGCCTGGGTGAGACAGGGAGACTCTGTCCCAAAAAAAAAAAACAAAAAAAACAAGACACTAAAACTAATACTTTAGTGTCCCAAAATGAGGACCTAAATCCTCACTTTGGAGCCCTCGCAAAGCCAGGCACAGTGGCTCAAGCCTGCAATCCTAGCACTTTGGGAGGCCAAGGCGGGAGGATCACTTGATCTCAGGAGTTTGAGACCAGCCTGGTAATATGACAAAACTCCACCTCTACAAAAAAAAAAAAAGTTACCTGGGCATAGTGGCACATGCTTGTAGTCCCAGCTACTTGGGAGGCTGAGGTGGGAGGATTGTTTGAGCCCAGGAGGTCAAGGCTACAGTGAGCTAAAATCGCACCACTGCACTCCAGTCTGGGTCACAAAGTGAGATCTTATCTCAAAAACAAAAAAAGGAGCCCTCCCAAACCTACAAACCCTAAATTGTAATACTGAGACACCCCAGACCCTCAAACTGTCAACTTCTGATCTCCAAATATGATCCTAATACTAAGATTACAGACCACAAGCTGTAACACTATGAACCTATATCCTAAAATAAGAAATCCAGGACCCTATGAAGCAAACCTCACTCCTCCAAATTGACCTCTTAGACCCCCATATTGTCCCTCAAATTGTGGCCCCAACCCTAAAACTGAGATCTCGAATGTGGGTCCTACTCTGAAACCCCAGACCTTAAAACTGGGAGCTCCCATACTCAAAGTGGGTCCTCCGGGCCCTAATACGTGCTTTTAAAGACCCGAACTGCAACTCCAGATTCTAAAGCCTCATACCATACATTGGGATTTAGGCCCTAAATCTACACTGAGGCTTCAATTGCCCCAAATTAGGCTCTAGACTCTCAAAATGTTACATCATAACTCAGAACTAAGACTTCCAGATCCCCAAATTGGGATCTCTGGATTCCAAGGAGAAAGCTTCCAGTCACAAAACCCGAGCCCTTCAGATTCCAGAACTAGTCACCCCTAGACACAAATTCCGAGATCCCAGATCGGAACTCGAGAGCCCGGATCCCCAACATAAACAGAGTCTTCTGTTCCTCAAACTCGAACTTGGACCCCTGCCTTCAAACGCATACTCCTTCGCCCGCGGCCCTGCACCCAGAGCATGTTCTATTCCCCTGAGACACCCCCCGAGAGAGGCTCCTGTGGGGATCCCGGGTTCCCCTAAGCCCAGCTAGTGCTGGGGGAGTCACCCTGCCCCGCGCCCCATTCCCCTTGGCCTCCAGCACCCGCCTCAGGGCGTGCAAAATGGCGTGAGGCTGCCCCCGCCGTTCTGGTTTCTCCGGGCCCCACTCTAGGGAGCCCGATCAGACAGCGTCTCGCGCGGGTCCCGGAAAGACGGCCGCGCGCGGGGGTCCCAGACGGTCTCGGACACCACGTTCCCAACCCGGCTTGGGGTTGGGTGCGAATCCTCTCGGCGCGAGGATCCTGCGCGAGGCGTGAAGAGCAGAGCAAGAGTGCGTTCCTGAGGCCAGGCCACGCCCCCACCAGTTCCAGCCAAGGTGTGCTGGGCACGAGACGACGGGGTTGAAAGGGCAGGGTGCAAGTGGCCGTGCGCACGCGCGCCTCGGGAAGGGCCCTGTCGTCTTGCACAGCGTGAGCTGGGCCTCAAGCCTTCTGACAAGGCCTTTGCCGGCGTGAGCCGCTAGGCGGCCAATCAACGCCCGCTCAGCCACCCGCCTTTTTAAGCGGTCACGCCCCTGCACGACCCCCGTGGTCCAGGGCCTTTGCATCCCAAGGAGGCTGGGTTTCCCCAACTGCCAACTCTCAGGAAGAGAGCGAGAGAGCTCGCTTGTGTCCCTTCTGGCCTTGTGGTGCCCCATTTCCACGTTTTCCCTTCAGTTCTTGTTTCATGAGGGCCTCCTATGTGCCAAGCACCAGGCTGGATGGTGGGAATTTAGCCACTGTCTTCCCAGTGCAATCCAGGCCATGAGAACCTCCGACACATGAGAATCCGGTCAGACGGGAACTCGGTTAATGCAGAGAACAGTAAGTTGGGAAAGGACTCAAAGAGGAGGGCCATTTGAATTTGGCCTTCTTGGGAGGCCGAGGCGGACGAATCACTTGAGGTCAGGAGTTCCAGACCAGCCTGGCCCACAATGGTGAATCCCCGTCTCTGCTAAAAATACAAAAATTAGCCGGGCGTGGTGGGGCGTGCCTGTAGTCCTAACTACTCGAGAGACTGAGGCAAGAGAATCATTGAACCCAGGAGGTGGAGGTTGAATAAGCTCCAGTCTGGGCGACAGAGCAAGACTGTCTCAATAAATAAATAAATAAATAAATAAATAAATAAATGAAAAAAACAAAAATTGCCCCCCCCCCTTTTTTTTTTGTAGAGACGAGGGTCTCACTTTTTTGCCCAGGCTGGTCTTGAACTCCTGGACTAAATCCAGTCTCCTGGCTGAGATTATAAGCGTGAGCCACCGCAGCCAGCCTGGAAAATACATCTTAAGGGGAGGTGATCTAACGATCTAGTCAAGAGTAGAAGCCCTGAAATCCAATATATTTCAGTTCAAATCGTTTTCTTGGCTGTGTTGCCAGCGACAAGAGGCTTAATCTCTTTCTGCCTTATAAATTTAGGATGGTAATTCTTACTAGGGTTGTCTGCAGGGTGTCTGGCATATAGTTCTGATGCAATAAATATTTACTGAACACATATTTACGCTGTTCTAGGTGCTTGAACAAGGTACACAATTATCTCTGCCCTCGTGGAGCTTCTTCTTTTTTTTTTTTTTTTTTTGGAGACGGACTCTCGCTCTGTCCCACCCTGGCTGACGCGGACTCGGCTCACTGCAAGCTCCGCCTCCTGGGTTCACGCCATTCTCTTGCCTCAGCCTCTCTAGTAGCTGGGACTACAGGCGCCCGCCACCCCGCCCGGCTAATTTTTTTTTTTGTATTTTTAGTAGAGACGGGGTTTCACCGTGTTAGTCAAGATGGTCTTGATCTCCTGACTTCGCGATCCGCCCGCCTCCGCCTCCCAAAGTGCTGGGACTACAGGCGTGAGCCACCGCGCCCAGCCTTCTTCTTCTTCTTTTTTTTTTTTTTTTAAGAAACGGCAGGGTCTCATTCTGTCACCCAAAAAGAGACGGCAGGGTCTCATTCTGTCGCCCAGGCTGAACTCCATGGCGGGCGGTGGTGTAACCCTAGCTAACTGCCTCGAACTCCTGGGCTCGAGCGATGTGGAGCTGCTATTCTGTGATGTGGACTAACTCCTAATGCATGGGACTTTCCTTCCTCCTAAGGCTTAATTTTCTCATTTGTAAATCAGGAGGTAAGAAGGGAGGGGATGGGCCTGACGCAGTGGCTCATGCCTGTAATCCCAGCACTTTGGGAGGCCGAGGAGGGTGGATCACGAGCTCAGGAGTTCAAGACCAGCCTGACCAACATGGTGAAACTCCGTTTTTACAAAAAATACAAAAATTAGCCGGGCGTGGTGGCGGGCGCCTGTAATCCCAGCTACTCAGGAGGCTGAGGCAGGAGAATCGCTTGAACCCAGGAGGCGGAGGTTGCAGTGAGCTGATATTACGCCACTGCACTCCAGCCTGGGTGACAGAACAAGATTACGTCTCAAAAAAAAAAAGAAAGAAAGAAAAAAAAAAAGAAGGAGGGGATGGATGGGAATGACTTTGGAAAAGCATAAGGAACTGTTAGCTATTGTGTTGATCGGCACAAATGAATCAATAAATGTGCTCTTCCCCAACTCTCCACCCCTCAGCAACACCCTATTGCAATACTCTCAATTCCCTTCCCAAGGGCCCCGGGCAAAAATGGAGCCCTCCTGGCTAGACTCCATCTCCCAGCGCGCCCCGCGGGGAAGCGCCCTGCGCTTGCGCTGCCAAGTCCTCTCCGGCTTTGTCTCCCGGGAGTTCGAGTCGTTCTTTTCCTCCGCCCGCCTAATTTGCTTCCCACCCCACCTCCACGCTTGACCGTGCTGCCTTCTGGGGTATGTAGTCCGTGGCTGTCCGGACTTCAATTCCCACCGGGCTTCGGGACGAGAACCCGGAAGGGGAGGCTGGAGAGGAGCGAGTAGGGTAAACCCGCGTAGCTGAGGGAGATGCAGCGCGCGGCGATGGTGAGAGCCCAGGCGAGGGCCGGGGGCGCTGGAGAGTCGGGACGGGGGTTCGGGACCGGGTGACGAGGGGGAAGAGGCAGGGGCGAAAGAAGGGGCTGGGCGAGGGGAGATTGCCTGGGGGAGGGGATTGGGAGGAATGGGAGCCGGAGGTAGTAGTAGAAGAATGGTGGCTTGGGGAGGGGTCTTGGAGGTGGGGTGGGAGTGGAGCTTTGGAATTGATTGTAAAGGGGCTCAGAGCTGGGGAAGTGGGCCCCGAGTTGGAGACGGGGCTGGACGTCCAGGTAGAGGCCCTGAAGGTGTCGATTTCGATAGGGTGTTAACCTGTGGCGAGGGTATGAGGATCACGGTTAGGATGAGTGAGGGGGTCTGGAAGCTCCAAGGGACAGGCGAACGGTGGACGCGATGGGATGGGGCCTCTGGATCGGATTGGGGGCAGGAAGGCAAGTTGAGGAGGTGGGAGGGAGAAATCAGTGGTAGGAGAGTGTGGGTTCAGGCTCCAGGACTGAGGGTGGGGTGAGGAGCGTGAAATTAGGGGCGTGGATGTAGTGATAATTTCCCTAGTCCCGCCAGAGACTCCCGGTGAGCTGGACAGGCACAGAACTGTAGGATAATATGGCCAGAAAGGGCCATCCAGACAGGCTTTGCACCCTCACTTCCCCAGTGGAATTTAGAAGAGTGTAGTGGTTTATCCCTATGAGAAGTACAGCATTCACATCCCCTATTCTCCCACCCCTTTGTGCCATGGACAAATCTGTGAGCCTTAGTGCCCTTATCTGTAGTATGGGAACGGCAAGCATGCCTCTGAGAACAGGGTTAAAGGGAGTCATTAAAATCGTTACTATTAATGGGAGATCTGGGCTGTGAAGTTTCAGTCTCAGAGCTGTTGGTGGGAAGTTCTCCGCCCCCGGAATGTGACTGGGTTACAGGTGCTAATGGATTTCCTCCTTTCCAGTCCAGTCCCAGAGGGCGTTTTCTCAAAAGCTGGCACTGATCTGGGCACACACCCCAGCTCAGAAGCATGTAGGGGTTCCCTACTGTGGATTACAGTTAACGCTTATTGTTTTACAAAATGCCTGGCCCTGTCCTTAGCTGTTTGTATGCATTAACTCATTTAATTCTGATAACACCCCTGAGGGGTAGGTGCTGTTATTTTCTCCATTTTACAGAAAG